GTAGGATTGTTTTGGACCAATGAGTTCACAAAGCGAGGGGCAGTGAATTTTCACAATCTGCATATTTGGTCACGAAAATTTTTATAAAATTGAATGAACGTGTGGCTCGAAATAATTCACAATAAAGTTTGTCGATCTTTCTTCTTGCCACCCCGGCTAAATTCCCAGTCATTTCTAAACTTTTTAGAAAACCATCTACATATTTGAATTATTAGAGGATATTCCATTAAATATATGACAAAATAACTGGATACAAATGGATAGTGCTCCAGCGCATTCTAGGAAAATAATACAAGAATGGCTTAAAGAAAATTATATGGGGCAATGGATAGGTAGAAGAACAAATGCCAATGTCAACCATAATGGTGCAGAGAATGTCTTAGCCAGCCAGATTGCCAGATCTAAACCCCTTGGACTTCTATGTTTGGGACTATCTATCTGAAAAGTAAAGTTTACTCTATAGACGAGCAAAATTGCAACGCTAAGTCACTTAGTTATCGAAATAAAAAAAACTGGCGTAGAACCAGGTCAAACATGGTAGGTTTTATTAAGCATGTGATGGGCATATGAAATCGTATTCTACGACATTTTTTGTTGGTCGGGATCTTTTTAATTTCGAAAAAATAAAAAAAAATCTATTTTTATGAGAATATGTTTTTTAAGGTCTCCACCGTTATATCTCAAAAAATAATTGTACTATCAGAGTAATTTTTTTTTTTAATTAAAACAGACAATAGCGCTTTTAACAGTACTAATGGATTTTATAAAACTCACTTTTTCATTTCACTAAAAATCTGGAAAACTTGATATTTAAATTTTGCGTAATACAATTTTCACAATGTTTTGAAACATAGCAAATGATTTACGACAGTCTATAAAGTATTTTATTTTAATTTCGCCATTTAAAATATTGTTTATTTTTTTGACAACAAATCTTGAATTCTCTAGGTCTTTGTACTACAGATTTGTCATCATCCCGCACAGCTTTTCTTACAAATAATGCACACCATTGTCTTAAAAACTTAATATATTCTGATACACACTGCTTATTAGGCACGTACCTACTTCAAATCCCGCAAGCCGTACACTATGTAGATTACACATTACGTTTAACGCGCTATGAAATAATCGCTTTTTGCCAAACTATAAGCTTTAGGAAAAAACTAATTATTTCAAAAATTTATGTAATGTTTGGGCTTCATTTTCTTCGCTGCATGTATATAAAAAAAATTATAAATAAAAAAGTTTATCGATTGGTGAAAATTGTATTACACAAAATTTAAATATCAAGTTTACCTGATTTTTAGCGAAATGAAAAAGCGAGTTTTATAAAATCCATTAGTACTGATAAAAGCGCTATTGTGTCTGCTTTAATTAAAAAAGAAATTACTCTGATAGTACAATTATTTTTTGAAATATAACGGTGGAGACCTTAAAAAACATATTCTCATAAAAATAGATTTTTTTTTATTTTTTCTAAATTAAAAAGATCCCAACCAACAAAAAATGTCGTAGAATACGATTTCATATGCCCAATCACATGCTTAATAAAACCTACCATGTCTGACCTGGTTCTACGTAAAAAAAAAAACTACAAAATAGACTCTTCAAATCGCTGCACTACTACTCCAATAGATAAAAGATCACAACTACTGCAGCAAATAGAAGATGGGTGTAATGAATTAAAAGAAAACCACCACATGATATTAGCTTCAATTTGTTCCGTTAATATAAGATGTCAGAAATGTATCGATGTGGGTGGTTCGCATTTTGAACAATTGTTATAAATTAATTTTGTTCCTTTTTTAGTTGTTGCTAAATGTATTTTTATTATTTTGATTTAAATTGTGCTTACAAATTGCACTTACTTTTAAGCATAAACATAAATATTCTTGCAATATTATCGTTAGAAGTGTCTGCCACAAGGGGATTGTATTGGTATGAATAACTTGAGACTGACAAATCTTAGGGGAAAAATTCAAGTTACCTTTTTACCTATTTTGTGCATTAGAATATAAATCCGTTACAATAACTCGTAAAAAATACAGTTGCGTATGTTTTTTTATAAAAAGAGGGTGATCCCTGTCCACTGGTTGAACCTTTAGAGCTCATATTTTAGAAAATCATGCATTATCTGTGCCAAATTTTCTTGAGATCGGTTAATAGATTCCAGATATATCTAAACAAAAAATCTTTTTTTTAAACTTCAACACCCTGTATCTCTAAAACGAGGCCATGTTTTAGATACATTGTGGAATGATACATTTTATATTGCTAATTTGTTTGTAACATTTTCTAGACTAGTATACCAAAATATTGATTTATTTGTACTCTTCAGAGAAACACAAATTATAATTTATTTCTTGTATTAAATAATTAGTTAATAGGGTGTTGAGATTGTTACTTTGAACAGGGTTTTTCAGAAGTAAATTTAAAAATATTAACTCGAAAAATTATGTTATTATGGTTTGATATAATTTGTTATTAGAATTTTAATTTTAATTTCACAAAATATCAAACAATGAAATTGTAAATAGTTCTATTAATTTAAAGCAAATAAAAAATACTAAAATTTTTAAAGTTTCAATATTTGTTAAGAGTAACAATAAAAAAAGCAACAATAAAAAAAATGTAACATTTGAGGGTTGCTTTCGCTGTACAGCAAAAATAAAACGCTCCATCAAATGTAGAAATAAACTATTTTTGTTGAAAACTAAGTTTGTGGAAAAAGACGTGTCGTCAGTTCAAGCGTTTGCTGAAGAGTCGTCTTGGCGTGGAGTCGCTCGCAGAAGTACCTGGTCCTTGGCGTCCATCTGCCGGGGTCGTCTTCCGGGAACCCTGATGAGTCCGGCGGCATCAGGCCGACGCTATTGACGCAACACTCAAAATGGGTCACTTGTGAACATGTGTACCCATACATTAAAAAAAATAAAATTCATCAAGTCTTGATTAATTAGCAATTTTAGTTTTCTCAAATTCTTAAAAATCGACAAATTAGTTACCCTAATAGTCAGTTAAAGTTACCTAATAAACCTTTCAAAATTAATTTGCTACCGACGTTTATGAGCAGTTGTTTAAAGATCAATTAAAAAAATACAGAAAGCAAATAATATTAAATGCATAAGTAAATAAAGTAGGTACACAATTAAATAAATAAGTAAAATGTTGAAAGTGCCCGCAATTTTATTTTATGCATAAAGTTATATGTCAATGAAATAATAAGCCCATGCTGTAAACAAAACTGCAATATCTTGTAAAAAGAGATTTGACTCCTCAACATTTCATGCTCATTGTTGGTGAGTGTGGCAAAATTAGTAGTGGCATAGAAAAAAAAGAATCACATTGCCCCCTCCTCTACGCCATTGTTGTCTGTAAAATATTGAGTAATACCTCAAATAATTGGTCTTTAGTTACTAACTGCACCTGGCAAATTTGCAGTATTAATGTTAAGGCTTTTTAGAATTATCGAAGATAATTTTAAACATTGCCCTTTTTCTCGTTAGGGAGGCATCTGTGGTCTCATGTTTATTAGAACTTGACGCCTTAATTTTTTATGTACTTTCTGCGCTAAAAGCCTGTCAAAGGTTTTTAAAATCATCCTGTATACAAGGTGCCCCATAAGTAATAATGCATGGAACAACAGTGAATTCTGTAGCCTCTAATAAGTTAAATTATGATCGGAAGAAAAAAATACGCCACTGGCAGTTTTTTGTAGAAATAATCTTACGTACGTAATCTTAGATACGTTAAAGAAATGAAAAATGTTTCTTGGTGTTTTTTAATAATAGCAGCCGTTCAGGAGATATTTGAGCTTGTTTTTACGTTTTATTAAATTTTCCTTGTAAATTAATACGTTTATTTGATGAAAACCTCCTGGTTTTAACCAGTGACGTGCTACTAAAGAATGCGCCAACTTTTTCCAAAAAAAGAATACACTACTGGTGGTTTTTTGTAGAAATAATTTTATTATTGGAAAAAATATCAAAACTAACTAATAAAGTAACATTAGCAAATAGGTCAAGTAAGTAATTAAGTAACGAGTCCTACAACAATTGTCCAAAACGAAGTCTTTCCGCATAGATACACTTTTGACATCTTCTAATATATTTATAGAGGAACTTATCATGACATAATTTTCCCTGAGGAGATTACAATTTTCCTCTAGTTTGCCACAATTCGTCTCGTGTTTATAACACCAACAAGGACTGCAGCTTCATAAATAAATAAACAAAGCTAGTTATAATACTAAAATGAGATTATCGTATAGCTTACTAACTGATAATGCAGACAATAGATTCAATTTTTGCTGATGGATTTTAAACAAATATGAGTAGGTGGACTAAATTTGCGCATTATGGTCGCCAAATACGTAAATTATCTCCTAAACGGCTGCTACTACTAAAAAAATCATTCAGTCATTTAACGTAACGGTATCTGAATTTAACATTATTTCTACAAAAAACTGCCAGTTGCGTATTTTTTTCTTGGGAAAACGGAGCGGCACCTTCAGTAGCACGCCACTGGTTAATGCCAGGAGGTTAATATTACATTCAATAAAAGGTCTAATTACATGAATATACTGTAATAAATTTCATTCAAATCGTTCAGCATAATATGAAGATATGACTGAAAATATAATTTTTTTAGAAACTTTAACAACCTGTATTCGAATACCATGTCCCCCAGGAAAATGTTTATAGAGCACTCTACTTATTTTTTGGCAACTAATATATTGCAGTTTCTGTATTTAAAGTAAACTCACCCTGTATACATACAAATTTTCAGTTAATTTTGTTTATACAAATTTTTAGTTATTTTTTTAAATTTTAATAATAAAAAATTTCTCGTCATTGCCTTTAAATACTTTATATTTAAGGAAAAAAGGTAGTAAAATGTCTTATACACTCTTATTTCTTATATAAGATGACATTCTTTAATAATTTTATAATAATCGCAGTTTAAAAATAGTAAAATACTTAAAATGTTATTATTTTTTTTAGTGTTTGACTATACTAAACATCCAAGCAAGCCTGATCCTAGTGGAGAATGTCATCCAGACCTCCGACTTCGAGGTCACCAAAAAGAAGGATATGGATTATCATGGAATCCTAATTTAAATGGTTACCTCTTATCTGCTAGTGATGACCACACAATTTGTTTATGGGATATCAATGCCACTCCTAAAGAAAATCGTATTATTGATGCAAAAACCATATTTACCGGCCATACAGCTGTGGTTGAAGATGTGGCCTGGCATCTGTTACATGAGAGTTTATTCGGTTCTGTCGCTGATGATCAAAAATTGATGATTTGGGATACCAGATGTAATAATACTAGTAAGCCTTCTCACACTGTTGATGCTCACACGGCTGAAGTGAATTGTCTTAGCTTCAATCCTTACTCAGAGTTTATTCTCGCTACGGGCAGTGCGGACAAAACTGTTGCTTTGTGGGATTTACGAAATTTAAAATTAAAATTGCATAGTTTTGAGTCTCATAAAGATGAAATATTTCAAGTTCAGTGGTCACCACATAATGAAACCATATTAGCTTCTTCCGGTACTGACAGAAGACTTCATGTGTGGGATTTAAGCAAGATTGGTGAAGAACAGAGTCCTGAAGATGCTGAAGATGGCCCTCCAGAATTGCTATTTATTCATGGAGGACATACCGCCAAAATATCAGGTCAGATTTATCACTTATATCAGTAGGCAATATGTTTTTTAATCTGTTTAACAAACTGTTTCCTCAAAATCTGTTAGATTTTGTAAACAGTTACTTATTGATGATCTCATTTAAGATAATAAAAATATAAATGGAGTTCTATCAAATGCAACATATTGAAATTGAAAAATATCAAAAAATTTAACAAAATTAAAAAATAATTTCTTATTTATCATTTTTTTTTTAATATGACAAAATGGTTTTACATTTATAACTTTTTACTCAATAAATTGTTGGTCGTGTAATTGTCACAATGGATATATATAAGAATGCGATTTCTTTATGATTATTCAATAATGAAATCAACTTTTTTTTATTTTTCTGTTTGTAAAATGCCAGTATACTTAGTACTTCAAAATTGTCACTGTTTAATCAACCAACTGGAAAGTTAGGTAAGTCAACTTTTGCCAATTTGACACTTTTAACTGTGGAAGTTAACAAAGAAATTAAATGAAAGCACTAACTCGGAGCGTCATTTTTTTTATATATTTTACTGGCAACTAAAATTTCTGTAAAAAAAGCCTAGGCATAGTTTTTTTCTATAAACATTCCAGTCTAGGTGGGATCTAGATAATTGAACATCAGCATAATAAAATGAACAGGTTTGATTAGAAAGAAACAGGAATTGTTAATTTTCTCAGAATATATTTATTGAAATTAAATTTTTATCCCGTCCAGTTTGGGAAACACTAGTGGAACGCCTCTTTAGGTATCATCTTGAGCACAGTTTGTGATTTTACCTTTATCTCATCTATTGTTGAAAAACGTCCTTTCACTATCCTTTTGAATTTGGGAAATAGGAAAAAGTCACAGGAATCATATCCGGAGAATAGGGTGATTGCGACATCACAACGGTGTTGTGTTTCGCACAGGGTAGCACAATTTTTCTAAGGTGAGGCGCAGCCCTAGAAAAAGTGATGCCAGATCTAGATTTTTTTTGGAATTGGGTAAATAGGGAATTTTGCTTTATTTCTTGGGATTTTTANCATACTTGCTTCAAAATTGGATACGCAATGAGCTTTCATTCAAATACTTGGCAATGGTTCTGAAACTGTAACATATTTTGTTCAATTTGCTACATAAATATTATCAATATGTGGTGACCAGTCCAAATATTCACTAATATATACACCTAAGAATTTTGTATGGGTATTCTATTTCAAGTGACCATCTTGCATTTGTAATTTATCTGGAGTTTCTATATTACTTTGTCGAGTTCTAAATAAAATAATATTTGTTTTCTCCATATTTAATAAAAGACCATTTTTTGAGAACCATTGATTTGCATTAAGCAATAAGGTATTACTGAAATCAGTTACTTCCAGATAATTTCTACCAGTAATAAGTGATATAATAGAGGTCTCCATAGAACTTGTAGTCCTGTGCTCACCTCAAGTAAAATTTGTAGCTACGCCCATGGGCACAGAAATGAAATTTTAAGAACATTTGACGACGGTCCTCGGCTAAATACTCGAAGAGCGTCTCAGCAACTTGGGGTGAGTAAATTGAACATTTTAAAAGTTCTACATAAGGATGGCAAAAACCAGTACCATTTACAAACTGTCCAAAATTTACTTCCAGGAGATGCAGAGAGACGCCTGAATTTTTGTCAGTGGTTGTTAAAGTCACAACATAATCCAGAATTCTTAGTAGGATTGTTTTGGACCAATGAGTTCACAAAGCGAGGGGCAGTGAATTTTCACAATCTGCATATTTGGTCACGAAAATTTTTATAAAATTGAATGAACGTGTGGCTCGAAATAATTCACAATAAAGTTTGTCGATCTTTCTTCTTGCCACCCCGGCTAAATTCCCAGTCATTTCTAAACTTTTTAGAAAACCATCTACATATTTGAATTATTAGAGGATATTCCATTAAATATATGACAAAATAACTGGATACAAATGGATAGTGCTCCAGCGCATTCTAGGAAAATAATACAAGAATGGCTTAAAGAAAATTATATGGGGCAATGGATAGGTAGAAGAACAAATGCCAATGTCAACCATAATGGTGCAGAGAATGTCTTAGCCAGCCAGATTGCCAGATCTAAACCCCTTGGACTTCTATGTTTGGGACTATCTATCTGAAAAGTAAAGTTTACTCTATAGACGAGCAAAATTGCAACGCTAAGTCACTTAGTTATCGAAATAAAAAAAACTGGCGTAGAACCAGGTCAAACATGGTAGGTTTTATTAAGCATGTGATGGGCATATGAAATCGTATTCTACGACATTTTTTGTTGGTCGGGATCTTTTTAATTTCGAAAAAATAAAAAAAAATCTATTTTTATGAGAATATGTTTTTTAAGGTCTCCACCGTTATATCTCAAAAAATAATTGTACTATCAGAGTAATTTTTTTTTTTAATTAAAACAGACAATAGCGCTTTTAACAGTACTAATGGATTTTATAAAACTCACTTTTTCATTTCACTAAAAATCTGGAAAACTTGATATTTAAATTTTGCGTAATACAATTTTCACAATGTTTTGAAACATAGCAAATGATTTACGACAGTCTATAAAGTATTTTATTTTAATTTCGCCATTTAAAATATTGTTTATTTTTTTGACAACAAATCTTGAATTCTCTAGGTCTTTGTACTACAGATTTGTCATCATCCCGCACAGCTTTTCTTACAAATAATGCACACCATTGTCTTAAAAACTTAATATATTCTGATACACACTGCTTATTAGGCACGTACCTACTTCAAATCCCGCAAGCCGTACACTATGTAGATTACACATTACGTTTAACGCGCTATGAAATAATCGCTTTTTGCCAAACTATAAGCTTTAGGAAAAAACTAATTATTTCAAAAATTTATGTAATGTTTGGGCTTCATTTTCTTCGCTGCATGTATATAAAAAAAATTATAAATAAAAAAGTTTATCGATTGGTGAAAATTGTATTACACAAAATTTAAATATCAAGTTTACCTGATTTTTAGCGAAATGAAAAAGCGAGTTTTATAAAATCCATTAGTACTGATAAAAGCGCTATTGTGTCTGCTTTAATTAAAAAAGAAATTACTCTGATAGTACAATTATTTTTTGAAATATAACGGTGGAGACCTTAAAAAACATATTCTCATAAAAATAGATTTTTTTTTATTTTTTCTAAATTAAAAAGATCCCAACCAACAAAAAATGTCGTAGAATACGATTTCATATGCCCAATCACATGCTTAATAAAACCTACCATGTCTGACCTGGTTCTACGTAAAAAAAAAAACTACAAAATAGACTCTTCAAATCGCTGCACTACTACTCCAATAGATAAAAGATCACAACTACTGCAGCAAATAGAAGATGGGTGTAATGAATTAAAAGAAAACCACCACATGATATTAGCTTCAATTTGTTCCGTTAATATAAGATGTCAGAAATGTATCGATGTGGGTGGTTCGCATTTTGAACAATTGTTATAAATTAATTTTGTTCCTTTTTTAGTTGTTGCTAAATGTATTTTTATTATTTTGATTTAAATTGTGCTTACAAATTGCACTTACTTTTAAGCATAAACATAAATATTCTTGCAATATTATCGTTAGAAGTGTCTGCCACAAGGGGATTGTATTGGTATGAATAACTTGAGACTGACAAATCTTAGGGGAAAAATTCAAGTTACCTTTTTACCTATTTTGTGCATTAGAATATAAATCCGTTACAATAACTCGTAAAAAATACAGTTGCGTATGTTTTTTTATAAAAAGAGGGTGATCCCTGTCCACTGGTTGAACCTTTAGAGCTCATATTTTAGAAAATCATGCATTATCTGTGCCAAATTTTCTTGAGATCGGTTAATAGATTCCAGATATATCTAAACAAAAAATCTTTTTTTTAAACTTCAACACCCTGTATCTCTAAAACGAGGCCATGTTTTAGATACATTGTGGAATGATACATTTTATATTGCTAATTTGTTTGTAACATTTTCTAGACTAGTATACCAAAATATTGATTTATTTGTACTCTTCAGAGAAACACAAATTATAATTTATTTCTTGTATTAAATAATTAGTTAATAGGGTGTTGAGATTGTTACTTTGAACAGGGTTTTTCAGAAGTAAATTTAAAAATATTAACTCGAAAAATTATGTTATTATGGTTTGATATAATTTGTTATTAGAATTTTAATTTTAATTTCACAAAATATCAAACAATGAAATTGTAAATAGTTCTATTAATTTAAAGCAAATAAAAAATACTAAAATTTTTAAAGTTTCAATATTTGTTAAGAGTAACAATAAAAAAAGCAACAATAAAAAAAATGTAACATTTGAGGGTTGCTTTCGCTGTACAGCAAAAATAAAACGCTCCATCAAATGTAGAAATAAACTATTTTTGTTGAAAACTAAGTTTGTGGAAAAAGACGTGTCGTCAGTTCAAGCGTTTGCTGAAGAGTCGTCTTGGCGTGGAGTCGCTCGCAGAAGTACCTGGTCCTTGGCGTCCATCTGCCGGGGTCGTCTTCCGGGAACCCTGATGAGTCCGGCGGCATCAGGCCGACGCTATTGACGCAACACTCAAAATGGGTCACTTGTGAACATGTGTACCCATACATTAAAAAAAATAAAATTCATCAAGTCTTGATTAATTAGCAATTTTAGTTTTCTCAAATTCTTAAAAATCGACAAATTAGTTACCCTAATAGTCAGTTAAAGTTACCTAATAAACCTTTCAAAATTAATTTGCTACCGACGTTTATGAGCAGTTGTTTAAAGATCAATTAAAAAAATACAGAAAGCAAATAATATTAAATGCATAAGTAAATAAAGTAGGTACACAATTAAATAAATAAGTAAAATGTTGAAAGTGCCCGCAATTTTATTTTATGCATAAAGTTATATGTCAATGAAATAATAAGCCCATGCTGTAAACAAAACTGCAATATCTTGTAAAAAGAGATTTGACTCCTCAACATTTCATGCTCATTGTTGGTGAGTGTGGCAAAATTAGTAGTGGCATAGAAAAAAAAGAATCACATTGCCCCCTCCTCTACGCCATTGTTGTCTGTAAAATATTGAGTAATACCTCAAATAATTGGTCTTTAGTTACTAACTGCACCTGGCAAATTTGCAGTATTAATGTTAAGGCTTTTTAGAATTATCGAAGATAATTTTAAACATTGCCCTTTTTCTCGTTAGGGAGGCATCTGTGGTCTCATGTTTATTAGAACTTGACGCCTTAATTTTTTATGTACTTTCTGCGCTAAAAGCCTGTCAAAGGTTTTTAAAATCATCCTGTATACAAGGTGCCCCATAAGTAATAATGCATGGAACAACAGTGAATTCTGTAGCCTCTAATAAGTTAAATTATGATCGGAAGAAAAAAATACGCCACTGGCAGTTTTTTGTAGAAATAATCTTACGTACGTAATCTTAGATACGTTAAAGAAATGAAAAATGTTTCTTGGTGTTTTTTAATAATAGCAGCCGTTCAGGAGATATTTGAGCTTGTTTTTACGTTTTATTAAATTTTCCTTGTAAATTAATACGTTTATTTGATGAAAACCTCCTGGTTTTAACCAGTGACGTGCTACTAAAGAATGCGCCAACTTTTTCCAAAAAAAGAATACACTACTGGTGGTTTTTTGTAGAAATAATTTTATTATTGGAAAAAATATCAAAACTAACTAATAAAGTAACATTAGCAAATAGGTCAAGTAAGTAATTAAGTAACGAGTCCTACAACAATTGTCCAAAACGAAGTCTTTCCGCATAGATACACTTTTGACATCTTCTAATATATTTATAGAGGAACTTATCATGACATAATTTTCCCTGAGGAGATTACAATTTTCCTCTAGTTTGCCACAATTCGTCTCGTGTTTATAACACCAACAAGGACTGCAGCTTCATAAATAAATAAACAAAGCTAGTTATAATACTAAAATGAGATTATCGTATAGCTTACTAACTGATAATGCAGACAATAGATTCAATTTTTGCTGATGGATTTTAAACAAATATGAGTAGGTGGACTAAATTTGCGCATTATGGTCGCCAAATACGTAAATTATCTCCTAAACGGCTGCTACTACTAAAAAAATCATTCAGTCATTTAACGTAACGGTATCTGAATTTAACATTATTTCTACAAAAAACTGCCAGTTGCGTATTTTTTTCTTGGGAAAACGGAGCGGCACCTTCAGTAGCACGCCACTGGTTAATGCCAGGAGGTTAATATTACATTCAATAAAAGGTCTAATTACATGAATATACTGTAATAAATTTCATTCAAATCGTTCAGCATAATATGAAGATATGACTGAAAATATAATTTTTTTAGAAACTTTAACAACCTGTATTCGAATACCATGTCCCCCAGGAAAATGTTTATAGAGCACTCTACTTATTTTTTGGCAACTAATATATTGCAGTTTCTGTATTTAAAGTAAACTCACCCTGTATACATACAAATTTTCAGTTAATTTTGTTTATACAAATTTTTAGTTATTTTTTTAAATTTTAATAATAAAAAATTTCTCGTCATTGCCTTTAAATACTTTATATTTAAGGAAAAAAGGTAGTAAAATGTCTTATACACTCTTATTTCTTATATAAGATGACATTCTTTAATAATTTTATAATAATCGCAGTTTAAAAATAGTAAAATACTTAAAATGTTATTATTTTTTTTAGTGTTTGACTATACTAAACATCCAAGCAAGCCTGATCCTAGTGGAGAATGTCATCCAGACCTCCGACTTCGAGGTCACCAAAAAGAAGGATATGGATTATCATGGAATCCTAATTTAAATGGTTACCTCTTATCTGCTAGTGATGACCACACAATTTGTTTATGGGATATCAATGCCACTCCTAAAGAAAATCGTATTATTGATGCAAAAACCATATTTACCGGCCATACAGCTGTGGTTGAAGATGTGGCCTGGCATCTGTTACATGAGAGTTTATTCGGTTCTGTCGCTGATGATCAAAAATTGATGATTTGGGATACCAGATGTAATAATACTAGTAAGCCTTCTCACACTGTTGATGCTCACACGGCTGAAGTGAATTGTCTTAGCTTCAATCCTTACTCAGAGTTTATTCTCGCTACGGGCAGTGCGGACAAAACTGTTGCTTTGTGGGATTTACGAAATTTAAAATTAAAATTGCATAGTTTTGAGTCTCATAAAGATGAAATATTTCAAGTTCAGTGGTCACCACATAATGAAACCATATTAGCTTCTTCCGGTACTGACAGAAGACTTCATGTGTGGGATTTAAGCAAGATTGGTGAAGAACAGAGTCCTGAAGATGCTGAAGATGGCCCTCCAGAATTGCTATTTATTCATGGAGGACATACCGCCAAAATATCAGGTCAGATTTATCACTTATATCAGTAGGCAATATGTTTTTTAATCTGTTTAACAAACTGTTTCCTCAAAATCTGTTAGATTTTGTAAACAGTTACTTATTGATGATCTCATTTAAGATAATAAAAATATAAATGGAGTTCTATCAAATGCAACATATTGAAATTGAAAAATATCAAAAAATTTAACAAAATTAAAAAATAATTTCTTATTTATCATTTTTTTTTTAATATGACAAAATGGTTTTACATTTATAACTTTTTACTCAATAAATTGTTGGTCGTGTAATTGTCACAATGGATATATATAAGAATGCGATTTCTTTATGATTATTCAATAATGAAATCAACTTTTTTTTATTTTTCTGTTTGTAAAATGCCAGTATACTTAGTACTTCAAAATTGTCACTGTTTAATCAACCAACTGGAAAGTTAGGTAAGTCAACTTTTGCCAATTTGACACTTTTAACTGTGGAAGTTAACAAAGAAATTAAATGAAAGCACTAACTCGGAGCGTCATTTTTTTTATATATTTTACTGGCAACTAAAATTTCTGTAAAAAAAGCCTAGGCATAGTTTTTTTCTATAAACATTCCAGTCTAGGTGGGATCTAGATAATTGAACATCAGCATAATAAAATGAACAGGTTTGATTAGAAAGAAACAGGAATTGTTAATTTTCTCAGAATATATTTATTGAAATTAAATTTTTATCCCGTCCAGTTTGGGAAACACTAGTGGAACGCCTCTTTAGTTATCATCTTGAGCACAGTTTGTGATTTTACCTTTATCTCATCTATTGTTGAAAAACGTCCTTTCACTATCCTTTTGAATTTGGGAAATAGGAAAAAGTCACAGGAATCATATCTGGAGAATAGGGTGATTGCGACATCACAACGGTGTTGTGTTTCGCACAGGGTAGCACAATTTTTCTAAGGTGAGGCGCAGCCCTAGAAAAAGTGATGCCAGATCTAGATTTTTTTTGGAATTGGGTAAATAGGGAATTTTGCTTTATTTCTTGGGATTTTTAAGTCATTTTAAAAAGTATACTTAAATAACAACTAAATGAACTAAATGCAGCTGAGCACTATACTCCATTTGAATAACTTCTCAGTAGGGGAAACAAGGTCACTAGATTTACAAATGGAGGTATCTACTAGCTACTGTAAAAAGTTTTCTGTTACGCGTTGTGCTGCCCTCTGTTAACGGATTGTATTAACATATCGGAATACCAGAATCGGAATTGTATAAGTAATGACATCTATTAAAGAAAAAACAAACGACGAAAACAAAGATGACCACCGGTCACTGAATTACAAGTGGAAGTAGATCTTATTTGTGGAAAGGCGAAACGGGCGGTGACTATGAGACGCCTTCATTATAGCTATTCTTCTCTATCGCACGGATTTCTATGACTTACTTTATCGCTCTTATGTAACGGCCGATGTACCATGGGGACTTTCGGAACCTGTATATTGAAAGTTAAATCTGTTGTTTAAATTAATTTAAATTTCATAATTTTGATTAAAAAATGTGTTTTCTTACAGATTTCAGTTGGAACCCAAATGAACCATGGGTAATTTGTTCTGTGTCTGAAGATAATATAATGCAAGTTTGGCAGATGGCCGAGAACATTTATAATGATGAGGAACCAGAGCAGCAAGCTTCCGATATTGAAGCAACAGCCACTTAAAAGTAGTTGATATTCCGTTTCTGTGTTTATTTCATTTAAATTATTTTATCACTTTGTAACAAAAACTTAATGAGAAATACACGATTTATATTAGTTATATATATTTTTTTCAAACTATTTGCAACAGAGTTGAGAACGTAAAAATATAAAATTAAAATTATAGGAATATTAAAGTGACCATTTTTTTTATAAAAAATGAGGAGATGCATATTTTAATATTTTTTAATTCAGCTCATTTTTCTGATTACGAAAATACGATTTGCTTTTTAATCCAATAAAGTTGTGCTCAGTTTATAGGGTACACAAAAAAAATTCCAATCATATTATTTTTTCAGGGTTGCTTGGGAACTGCTTCCTGAGTATCCAACCAAATGATCACACTCGAATTCCTGGTACGACTTGCACTATGAGGGGTGGTTTCCTAAATATTTTTTTAGAGCAAAATGACCATAAAAGATGCAGAGGATCAAATTCTGAAAAACTTTTCCTTATAATTTTTTTGGTAGGTATGTTTAATACTTAGCAAGTTACCGCGCATTATGTGACAAAAATTGGGCACGCCACAGGAGTGGTCTTGTAAACATGTTTTTACAAAAAAATAAGCTTAATAAAAGTTGTAGAGGAAAAATTCTGAACGTTTCCTTATAAAAAATTTTTGTATCTCTAATAGTACTAGTGCTGTGCTGCTACAATTTGGCTTTGCCAAAATGTTTGCAACAAATGTTTGAATAAATGAATGAAAACTAAACATGAACTGATGCAACCTATTAACTAACACATAACCAACACCGCTTATCCCAGTCCCACTGTTGCCAACTCTTTGTAAAAACATGTTCACAAGACCACCACTGCAGCGTGCCCAATTTTTTTCATATAACGTGCAGTAACTCGTTAAGTATTAGAGACAAAAATTTTTTTTTTTAAAGTTCAGAATTTAATCCTCTACAACTTTTCTTAAGGTCACCCTCAGAGCGCAAGTCGTACCAGGATTCGAGTGTGATCTTTTGGTTGGATACTCAGGAGGCAGTCCCCAAGCAACCCTGAAAAAGTCATCCTGTTTGGAATTTTTTTTTATAAAATTGTATACAGGGTGTTTTCACTTTAAATTTGGAAAATGCAGGAATGTATTCCCTATCCAAAATTAGGTGTAGTTTGCTCTATAAATTTTTTTATGAAAGCCTTTGTTTTGGAGATACAGGGCGTTGAAGTTAAAAAAAATAAACACTTTTTGACATATCTCGGCTATCCACGAGTAGATTTGATTCAAACTTGGTACACATTTTGCGTATTGGGGGGTCTCATAATTAACAGAATATTAGTCCTATCGGATTAGCCAGTGGCGTGCAAAGGTAGGGATACGTGGCACCTTTTTCAAAAAAAAGTACGCCATTGAGTTTTTCGAAGAATGTAAAGTAAATTTAAATACTACCATACAAAAGCAATCTAAAAGGTCTCTTGGTATTTTTCGATAATACGCAGCGTTCATGAGATTCTTGGACTATCAAGATTCCAATGCATGATAACATGGCACGGTAGTGCTGAATGAGAAAAAGAGATATTTTTCTTTGAATTCAAATGCTGCATTAAAATTTATAGCAACTTTTTTGTTTCGCAGCAAGTCAAGAACCTGTAAATATTTTCATTACTTTCCTCTACTCAATGTCGTAATTATTTTTTTTTCATGCATTGAAATCTTAATAGTCCGAGAGTCTCATGAACGCTGCGTATTATCGAAAAATACCAAGAGGCCTTTTAGATTGCTTTTGTATGGTAGTATTTAAATTTACTTTACATTCTTCGAAAAACTCAATGGCGTACTTTTTTTTGAAAAAGGTGCCACGCATCCCTACCTTTGCACGCCACTGGCTAATCCGATAGAACTAATATTCTGTTAATTATGAGAACCCCCAATACGCAAAATGTGTACCAAGTTTGAATCAAATCTACTCGTGGATAGCCGAGATATGTCAAAAAGTGTTTATTTTTTTTTTAACTTCAACGCCCTGTATCTCCAAAACAAAGGCTTTCATAAAAAAATTTTGTAGAGCAAACTACACTTAATTTTTGATAGGGAATATATTCCTGCGTTTTCCAAATTTAAAGTGAAAACACCCTGTATAGAATACTAAGAAAAGGAAAAAATCCAAATACTCCTCAAATTAATGAACTAATAAGTTTGAAAATTGTCTCTTAACTTTTGTTAATGGAAATTTAATTGAATTGTTGGATGTTTTGTTTTTAAAGCAATTTTTGTAATAATGGATAACTTGGTATTTCAAAATCAAAAAGCAAACTGTATATCATAATCAGAAAAATGTGCAAAAACCAATATGGAGTCCAAAAGTTGATCACATCACATTCGACACCCAAAATAAACTAATGTAGATATGTAACAGTTTTTTTTTTATTTCTCATATTCTGTGGCGGCTCTTGACTTCCATACCAGGAAGAGCGAAAAAATTTAGGCACATTGTTTTGAGAAAAAAACTAAATATAATTGAGTAGTTTATATAAATATAGGGAAAATGTACTCAACATTATTTTTTATAGGGAGTCATTCTACTTTTGTCCTAAATAAACTTTTCATTACTTTTCCATTAAAGTTTGGTATTTCTTGCACCATTAATTTTTCAACAGATAGCATTACTGATAGTATGTCTTTACAATCAATTTAAACTTTTACAATCTTTCGAGAAACACACAAGAAGCAATATGTAACAAAATTTTACACCACACCTGAACAAATTACGTTTAATAAGAAAAAAACCATGAATACCTACTATTTGGTTACAGTGTCCAAACTGCATAGCTAGCATAGTAAGTATGCGCTACTCCCACTCTGTCTTTCACTTCTGCGTGGCAGTAACCATGACCACAGTAAACACTACAGATGTAGGAGCGCGCTACGCGGAGCTCGTGTATTCAGAGTTTTTCAAACGAATTTTGCAAGTCGAGTTAAATTGACTGCACATTACAAATTTTAATGTGTTTCATAATGCTAATCTATTTAATTATCCAGATAACATTGTAAACTAAGTTTTAAATTAAATTTTTAATTTCTAGGGGGGGAGAGGGCGCTCCAGAGTTCTGCACCAGCCGCCACTACTCATATCTACATAAAGCATCTAGCAAACTGTACGATATTTTGTTGATATAGAATTCCAAGGAGACCCCTAAGCCACTTTCTTGAAATTAACCCCATTTGATACCCGAGGTAGATAAAAAAGCCAAGGGGAAAATTTAAGGCATGCTCCTGCCGTGATTCTTTTTTATTTTATTTTGCCATAGCTATAGAATTATAGACTGCTTCCTTTAAATATTTTAACCTTTGTTTTTATTTAGAATGTCTTCACATGGCTCAAACTCGACTCACTGAGAATTTCAGACTTCTTAAGTAGATTTATGCCAAAAAAATGACTATCGAGAAATTTTCTGAAAATGTTTTAGAATTCCATGTTACATGACATCTTTTTATCACAAATTATAGATTTAAAGCAATACTGTTTTTAAATAATTCCTTGTTCTTGATTTTTCAGTTTCATTGATATACAACACTTCTACTTATGACTAACCCTTTTTTACACACTGGCTTTACACACTTAACACATTCATAGCTAATACTTTTACAATTATTTTTTTTACATAAATATTGTCTTTATTATTGTTTTTGCAAATCTTACAGCTATCTTCCTAAATTCCTTTTTTTTTTACTAAAAATGTTCATAATTTTTTATGTTACCTTCAGCAATATATACATATACATGGTGTTCTATCATCATGATACATCTAATAAATTGAATAATTTAATATCTCCTAATGGACTATGTCGGATCGATTCTCTAATCGATCCGACATAGCTCCTCTGTGTTTTCAACTTCCAGCTCCCACCGGAAGTGGGAGTGGCTCAGACCGGTAGTCAGTTTTTTGAAGTCAAACAACATAACTTTTTGTTATTGATCTCGATTCTACGCTGAAAACTAAGAAACTTTTGTAAAAAAAATTTTCCACCCCAAAATACCTTCCAATATATAAGTGCTCCCCTGAGAAGTGATACAAAGAATGAAGCGCAGTACTCTACTACCAGGTAACCTAAATATGTACATTAACGAGGTTGTCCCCACTGTAAAAATTTGTTAAATTAATGGCTTTCAACATTATCTGAAAGTGCAACTCCCGAAGCCGAACTTGCGCAGTTAAACCACAAAGTATAAAATAAGTATATTATAAAGTCGAAAGTCATTAATTTAACAAATTTGTACAGTGGAGACAACCTCATTAATGTACATATTTAGGTTTCCTGGTAATACAGTAGAGCGTTTAATTTTTTTTGTGTCACTTCTCGGGAACACTTGCATTTCAGAAGGCATTTTGGGGGAAAAACGATCTACAAAAAATTTTTTTTACAAAACTTTCTTAGTTTTTGACGTAGAATCAAGATCACTAAGGAAAAGTATGTGATTTAAAAAAACTGACTTCTGGTCTGAATAGGCCACTTCCAGTGGGAACTGGAAGTTCAAAATACCTGCAATCGATCCAGCATAGTCTGTTTACTATTAGGAGGTATTAAATTTTTATTAGTTACCCTAGATTTCAGAAGGGGTGGACTGGTGGTCTGAAACACCCTCTATATACACATCATATATACGTGTCTCACATAAGAACCAACACAGAGCAGGGGCGTGTAGAGGAACTCAAAATATGGTGATTTAATGCAACTTTATACTAAGCTGCACCCCTGAGAAGTTATAGGCCTTGAAAGTGGGGTTTCAAATTTCAAAAAAAAATCAGTTTTCTCGAACTTAGGAAAACCAAATTTGGTACAACGGTGTGAGTGTATCAAAGCATTAATTGACAGTAAGTACAGGTCAATTTGAAAGGGTTGATAACGGATTATGTACCAAAATGATTAAAATGTGACAGAATTTTTTAACCCGTTGGCGGATTTAAAAAATTATTACTTTATGGGGAATTTAATTCTAAAACTTTTCTTACTCTTGTTAGTTTTCAAAAAACTTTGTCGTTTTCAACAAAAACACAAATAACTATACTCGACGGCCAAAATTATAGATAGTGATTCATCGCTAGCTCTTAAAGTAGTAAGGGGGATGAAGTGTGCCGGGAACGAAAATCCATTGGCGTGTCTGCGTAAAAGGCAACAAGATATAGAAAATATTGAAAAAACATAATAAAACATAACATCTAATATTTTTTACGGTTTGCTATAACCGGCACTTTGATCAATTTTAATTATTACAGCANTTTATAATTGACATTTTTACAGCAACTTTAAAAAATTGGCGTTTTATACCGTTTTTTCAATCTCACGGCTTTGTTATTGCAAATTTCGTAATCGGACCACCGCCATTTTGTAGCAATTTTTACTAGGAACAAAATCATGTCCTAAGCATTTTTTCGTACAAAGTCATCCCACTAAGTTATTTAAAGAAAACTACTAAAAAAAATTTTTTTTCACGATTAAATTGTTAATAACTTTTTTTCCTGATAAAATACTTTGTCAGCAAATTAGCCTGTTATTGTACTCATCATTTAAAGTAGACCTGTGTAGTTATTTGTTTGACACACGCCCAACCTCTACCAACTGGACTAATAGGTTTACAATTAATTACAATTTAATTTACACATAATTCGTATTTGTTAATAGATTTTTTACCTCATAATCGTAGCACGTCTAGTTTCATATATACAGCCGCTCGATACCGTTAATGGATCACCCTGTATAGATATATTTGGTAAATCAGTACAATGATGTACACTCGACGCAAGATAAAGGTTTCTAACCTAAAAGGCATACTATTTTTAAAGGGGCGAGCTGGTGGACTATTAATAGGAATTTTGCGAGGCATCAATAATTAGGAGCGTGTCATATTTTTTTTGTGTAGGTACGTGTGTAGCGACACAATAAAAAATTGCAGGCCTGAAATATATGCATTATAAAAAGAGAAGAGTATACAGGTTTTGAAATTATTTTGTCTTGCCACATTATTTTTCTTGTCCCTGAGAAAATTAATATTTTGAAAAAAGAATTTGTGTCATATTCTGCGGAAGGTCATGAAGGCAACAAAATAAAAAAATATGGTAAACTACAGTTTTATTATAACTTATACAGTTTCGGGAGAAAAGGAAAATATTTTAAAGACGTGTTCTGGAAGTGAAAATAAGTAAATAAGTTCATGACATTATGGATCCGGAAATGTTTCCTTTCTGAGATAGATGTCGAAAGAAATTTAAAATTCGGTCACTACTATAAACCAAAGCTCAGAGTAATATCTTAAATCGTTTTCGAAATATTTAGAAAAACAGGATTTTTTAAAATTTTACATCTATCAGAAAGGAAGCATTTTCGGGCCCATAACTTATGAACTTATTTACTTACTGTAACATCATTTTATAAACAATGAAAAAACAAAACAATCTAATAATACGTCCAACCACCATCCGAATCAATAACGGCTTGTAATCTGTTTCGCATAGATGTAACAAGGCATCGTATATAATTCACGTCTATAGCGTTCCAAATATTTTGTATACGTTCCCAGAGTGTACCTCTATTTGGTGGAATATTGTCATATTGTTCATTCAACTGACGCATTACATAAGCCCATAAATGTTTTTTTTTATAAGAAGAAATTTCCATTTTGTTTCATTCCAAAATATTGATTAAAACCCGAGTTATCACGGAAATATTATTTTTGGGGGTGAACATGAGGGTTAGTTTGCATACGTTTAAATCTGTTTTAGGCTAAAAGAAAAAATATTAGTCCATATTAATATGTATTTACCTTTTTGAGGTTAACAATGGATATTGAGCATACAATAATTTAAAGAAACTCACTTTCACTGACGCATGCGCATTGACAATAGCGAACGAAAATAAATAATCTATCTTTGTCATAAGCATACCAGTTGTCCACAACTTCGGTACCCTGAGTGCGACAAAGCGAACGTGATTTTTTATCTTTGTCCTGGCAGTGTCGTAGGAGCTAAATAAAATTCAATATATAAAAAGGTAAATAAATTTGTATGTCTAAAAAACAAACGTAAAAAAAAATTCGAAGGTAACTTTTCATTATTTTAAATAATCAATCGAATAGTATAGAAAAAAATTGTTTTAGTTTTGTTACATCATTAAAATTTACGATTAAAAATTTGAAATTGTTTCTTATTAAAAATTAAAAATTTTATCTATTTGAAAAGAACAGTTACATTTTTTGGAGTAGATTGAAAAAAAAATTTCAAAATTCATTCATTTTTCTGCTTATGATTTTTTTAAATTTCTGAAATCTTTCCTTAACTTCCAGCCTCCCTCTGTTAATTTTAATAGTACAAGAAAAAGTCAAGAGGCAATTTTTATGTAGAATTGTATGCTTTACAACTTTTATAAGAAACTTCAATTGATTTCATTGCAGGCACCTATACAGTGTTCATTAATGGCATACAGAAAAACCAGATGCCCATTCTGTGGCTAAAATTAAGTAAATTTTGTTACACACACGTAGGCTCTTAAGGCCGCCGTTTCCGAAATGCAGGGTTTTCAAAATTAAAAAAAAATAAAATTTTTAATTTTCTTAAATCCATTCAATCTAACTATTACTAAGTAGGTAGTTGACGTTTCATAAGATTTATTAACTAGGATGAAACGATTTTTCTATTGTAACGTAAATGCAACTTTTTTAATAGAAACAAGATAATAAAAAATCCATACGGGGTCTGCTATAAGAGTTTGCCGATTAGTCCCATTTTAAAAATGCCAATCTACCAGGAAAGCATTTTTGTACAAAACTCGTAAAATGTCAGATGTGACGGTAAAATATTATCACACAAGTTTAATGGGAACGCCCCATGTAGACAAGCGGTTAAGCCGTCATATTTCAAACAAAATACGATTCAGATTGGAAACCTTTATCTTGCATCGAGTGTACTTGGTATTTCATATCAACATTTAAACATCTATTTTCCAAATTTTATTAACATATGCAAAATAATTTTTCAGATTTTTAAACTGAAAGGAAACTTGATATACTTAAAAAAAAACTTCATATAAAAATACTTATTATATACTGATGAAATTTGAAAAATAGGGATTCTGAGTGAAACTAACCTTGACATGTTGCATAATTCTCTAATTAGGAGTTATTTGTATTAAATAATTTACATTGATTAAAATGTATCACATATATTTCGTATTAAAGAATAATACATAATAGAAAATTATATATTAAATTTTCAGTAAAGTATTAGCATATTGAAATTCAGGACTAGTCTCATATTCGCACATATCTAAAGCAATTTCACAACTTTCTCTAACTACCCTTTTACTATCTTCAAGAAATTTTTTCAAAATATCTATACATTCTTCAGTTGCAATAGCACCTAATGCTTCGGCACACTCATGTCTCACCATTTCATTTTCCGTTTCATCTTTCAAAGATTCTATTAAGAAAGGTACAGCTTCTGTATGTTGCAGTTGCCCCAATACGAAAGCAATTTCATGTCGAAATAAAGAACCACCATATTTCAATGCTGTGCCGAGAGTCCGAACAGCTTCGCTTGTTTGTAAATTTCTTAATGAAAACATAGCCCGATATCTTTGAAAAAGATTGCTGTTTTCATCTAACAATATAGCTCTCAAATCTATTTCATTCGATGAATCAAATGGTGGTGCTGGATCAACTGAATTATATGGATTTTTTTGGAGGCTCTTCAAATTATTAGAAATTTGCATCCATTTTATTCTCTCCAAAGCCAACTCGCATGTTTCTGCAAGTTCTATAGCAGGATCATTTTTAAACTTTTCCAATATTTGTATAACTTCGCTACTACCAATAGCTCCAAGAGCTTCAGCTGAAAAGGAAGAATGAATAAAAATCTACTTAAGGATACTTTCTTTTATTCATTCATATGTTCGCTCTTTTTATTTAGTCACTAGAAACCCTCAAAATTGACAAAAAACTTTAGTATGTTTTTCAAATACTTTTCAAAAGCTTTGTCTGATTTATTTCAAATTGTACAAATAAGTGTGATATTCATCTGTCAGAAGCAGTAATTTCCACTGTCTGGGGTGAAGGGCCAGAATATACAGGGTATTAAATAAAGAGTGTAAAATATATAAGGAGGTAATAGTATGAACCAAAATAAGCAGAAGTCTCAATAAACATGGTTCCGCAAAGTAACGGTTGTGGAGATATGGATTGTTTTATGTTTTTTAGCCCCTTGAAAGCAGTTTCATAACACTTCCCAAAAATACAAAATAAATGTAAATAAACCATACTTGACAATGAAATAGAAAGCATTTTTATGAAAGCCTGTAACTTTTTTAGGAAGCATAATTAAGATAGCTTAATATAAATCAGTTTATTTGTATCCAAGGAAGCTACCCTTGAAGAAATTGCCAATGTGCTTCTGGGATATTATTTACATATTGTGGATTTAGATACACATTGTAAGTACCGGCAAAGGTTTATGTAAAAATTACTCGTATTTACCTGCCTCATGGCGTACGATAGTTTCCTGTGAATCATCTTCTAACACATGTACCAACACTGGAATTGCTTCTTTATCTTGCATTTGTCCTAAACAATATGCTAACTCATGTTTTAGCAAAGCTGAGGGATCCTTAAAAGATCTTTCAATTTCCTCAATAGAAAAGGGTCCTCCAATGTTTCGAAGGCAAAATAGAGCACGAAATCTCTCTTTCAAGGGTCTTGTTTTATCATTCAAAACATTTCCTATATTTTTAACTTGGTTTCTCGTTATGTTAACCATCATTATTATACAAATTCAAAATTTTCACTAAACGATATTTATCATGTACACTAAAACAAACTAAAAAAGAAAAAAAAAAAAAAATTAGGAGAAAAAAATCATAGACTTCATAAATTACAACTTTACAAGGTCTATGAGAATGAGCTTTGACGACTGCGCACCACTTTTCTAGGGACGCTATAGGCGCAGACATTTTGAAGGCTTTTACGCCTTTTACGTCACGCAGTGACGCATTGTTGTTGACAGGTTCGCAGGTGTGTTTTTTGAGGTTATTCATATTTTTGTTTGTAAATTTCGCTTTTATTGAACTTTAAATATGTCTTGTGTTTTGTGCTGTGAAAGAAAGCGCAAATTGCAGAAGATGTCCAATATAAAACATTTCTAAATATTTAGGTAGCTGTACACAAAAATAAGATATTTCCATTTTATTCTAAATTTTTATTGTAAACATGTAATTTTTTTATTTCTAGCTTTCTAGAAATGAAACTTTACAGGAGTGGCTAAAGGTTCTTTCTATCGAAAAAGAAAATTGGGTATGGACAAAAAATAACGTAATTTGCTCTGAACACTTTAAAGCGGATGATTTTGTCCCATTTTGTGGAAGAAAAATAGTACGACCCAACTCTGCATCTTCCATAAAATTATTTTGTGGTGTATCTTCTTCCATTTTAAACGAGAGTACTTTATTGAGTTCAATTAATACAGGAGCTTTGACCAACAAATTGATACAATCAAGTGAATCATCTTTGACCTATAATGTTACTGAAGTTCGAGTAGGTACAACGTAAAAAGAAGAGACAACTGGATTTAAGGTAATAAAGATTTGTAATTTAAAAATAGTAGTAATGCTAAGGATGTTAAATACGTACCCTGCCAAATTGTTTGGTACGGACCTAATAAATTAAGAAATAATATTTACAGTATTTTTATTTTCAGTGTTCAGAATACATCGAATGGTAACACTAGTACTGATAGTAGCGCTAAGAGAAGGAGAATTATGGCAATGAAAACATACTTTAATGGATAACTTTAATAATGAAAATATCTTTGCAGTACATCTCCTTCTACAGTTGCAACGAAAAAGGTTAAACTGAAACGTAGACAGGAAACTTACTGTTCAGTCTTTACGAAAAGAAATTAGGGACGGATTATTCAAGGCCCTGCATTAAGACAAAATTATTAAATAATTATTTTCAACCATCAGTAAATAAATATGTTACGTTATACAGTGTTTTATTTTAATATACAAAATATTTAGGAACTACATCACAATTTTTTTTTTATTTCATATAAATTGAGTACTTACCGCAATCTGTTAAAGTTTATCGTATCATAAATATATTATTATTGGTGTGATTAATATTCTCTGTTGAACCTTCTGTGAAACAAGATAGCTATAACATAGTTAAAGTATGATTCAATTAATTCAATGTAAAAGATAAGCGCAATGTCGGAGTGTGTGCAGATTTATACATATGATAGGTAATAATATTCTATGTAGTTATGATACAACTCTAGCCATTGTTCTGGGGTAATATAGTATTTAATATATTTTTTATGAAGTGCATATATGAAAATTTAAATTTTTATTATATAATAAATATTCAGATATACCTAGAAAATTATGAAAAATAATTCATATGTAATTGAAAATTTCAAAAGTACGTATTTGTTAGTTCATATTTCATTTCAAAATTTAATGTAAAGTTATGTGCGTTTCTAATTAGAAATGTTAAAACTGACCTGTGCAAGGACTCCCGAAATGTCGATTCGATGATTCCGAATCGAGATCGAAATAATATCAATATATCGGTACTCTTGAAAATTTTGCCATCGAAATAATATCGAAACCCCGCCCATTCGAATCGATATAATATCGAGGAGTCTTGGCTAGCCGAAATGATTTGCTCTCTTCTTCTATCACATGTATTGACTATTGCTGTTTCTTATCAACATTACAAATGTGTTTGCGTTTGTGTTTTGTTTATTTTTACGTATTTAACCTAACCCAATCCCAATGTGAAGTGTCAAATACTTGTTGATACACAAGGACTTGTATAAAATCCTTGGTTTCTATTTATCTACAACTATTTGAACAGTTTTTGAATAACACCTTTTCTGTTTCTTATTATGCATTAAATAAATATAAATACTGCATAATATTACAAATCTTTTTCTTGTCATGAGTGTGTATTTACCGGAATATTTTTCTATAATGGTGAAAATTTTATCCAATTGTTGGAGAGGTTTTAATAAATAACATATGACTTTCTTTATACCTCTATTAATAGTTTGTTGACTTGAAGCAAGAAAGTCTACTCATTCCAGTGATGTTCACCGTGCATAAAACCAGAAAGCACGAAATAATTTAATGTTGAATTGAATAGTTTCCGAAGTTCTTTTTACTTCTTTTAAATGTCAAACAATAGACATAGGTAATTAAATTACATATAATATTTTTATGTAAGCGAAATAATTACACAAATTTTTTGTCCGGTAAAGATTATAATGGATCCATTGAACTGTCTTCTCCAAATATTTTCATTCCTAAATGCTTCTCGTCGCTCTAATTGTTCAACAATAATTATAATCACAAGTAGTATTTTATGTTTTTTATTTCAAACCGAATAAAAAATTAGGATGTGNCTTATGCTATGACGTTTCTCAGGTCGGGCAAATCAAGTCCGTTTACACTCACTAAAAAAGCATTTCCCTATTCCCTACCAAGTGCAAAAGACAGAGATAAAATATAGATCAACATTAAGTTTAACTCAGTCTATACACGATTATAGATTCTACCGATGTGCATGGCGAGCACAAAGATAAATAATATTGAACCGTATAGAAATCATTTTATATTTTATACGCATTATGGTAATAGTGTTTTTATATTATGTATTAGTCACTCTATAATTTCGGCCGCCGAGTATAGTATGTAATATGTATTATAGATATTATTTAAAATCATCGCAAATTCAAAATTTGTCTGTGAATTTAAACGTCAAACTTGATCAGGAAAAAAGTCATTTAATTTTAGAATTGTTTTCTAGGTCCTTTGAAAATGGCTGAGAAGTTTTCATTTAACAAACAAGTTGACATGCTATTAGTGTTAGATTTCTGTGAAGGAAACTACAGAAGAACTGTTGAAGAATATCAGCGAAGATTTCCAAATCATGTAATCTCCTATAGAGAAACATTTTCCAATGTTGAAAGACGGGCTCGAGAAAAAGTCAAGTCTTTCAATAACACTCGAGAACATGCTATTGAAATCAGGGCACAAGACGAGGAACTTATTTTGTATACAATTGAAGATGACCCACATGTTAGTACTAGAATTCTATCTCGACAAACTGGTATATCGCAAACTTCTTTGCAGCGAGCGATCAGACGTAATCTACTACACCCATATCATATGCAAAAAGTGCAAGACTTGTTACCGAATGATTTGGTTAGAGTGAATTTATTTTACATCAAGGCATTAATTTTCAAAAGAAAATTATCTTTACTGATGAAGCCCCACCCGCAGAGGTACTACAAATTTACATAACCATCATTGGTATTCCGATGTAAACCCTCATTCAGTAACACTTCGACATTTCCAACACAAATATAAAATAAAATAAATGTGTGGACTGGTATTTAATTCATCCAGTTATTTTACTGAATCGATTAAATGGTGAAACTTACTTAGAATATCTCCAAAACACTCTCCCGGATCTACTTGACGAGGTGCCACTAAAACTCAAACTGGAACATTGGTTTATGCATAATGGAGCATCCCCTCATATTAATAATATTGACTTTTTAAACTACCAGTATCCAAATAATTGGATTTACTGAGGAAATAATTGCCCACAAGTTTGGCGTCCACAATCACCAGACCTCAACAAATGTGACTTCTTTCTTTGGGGAACGTTAAAAGAATTTTTTCTGTATTCCTCGACAATTGCATCTCGACCAGAATTGTGGAATTGTATTACAGACAAATGCACATTTATTAGAAACAGTCAGCAGTTATTGGATTGAGTAGACTTGAATTTTCGACGAAGAATAAATATATGCCTAAGAGAAAACGGTGATCATTTTGAACAATTTCTATAACTTATCAGTGCAAACTGTATGTTATTTGTGTTGTTTAAGTTGTTTGTTTTTCTATTAAATTATTCTTATTCCAACTTATTTTCCTGATCGTCAAGTTTGACGTTTAAATTCATAGACAACTTTTGAATTTTCGATTTTAACCCATCTTTTGCCAATATTGCGTTAACGCAATGGGCAAAAAAAATTTTTTTTTTTTTTCATGCAGCTAAATTACTTTATTAAAATTATAGTCATGGCATCAAGTTACTATATGATTGACCTCAATGAATACATTTTTTATTAGCTGGATTAATTAGAGAATCTAATTTTTTAGAATTTTGTAAAAATACAATTCTATGGTTTTTATACTGCAAACCAAATAATGGTATAATATTTTTTGTGGATAGAATGAACCGTTTTATGTGTGTGTGTGTGTGTGTATGCTTATGATATCTAACAAGAGCTGTATAGTGATACAAGTGTTGGGTTGCCTATAGTAGGCCACTGCTTGTCTGGAAGATAATGGGATTGCGATAACGCAATATTGACAAAATAGCGTTGAATTCCATATGGTGGAAAATCGGTTCAGAAAAAAAAACAATGACTGGACTTGGTGGAAATGTATTTAACCTCCTCGATACCGTAACACGAAAAACAAACCATAAAATTTATTTTGACAATTTTTTTACCAGTCATGGCTTGATTATAAATCTAAAAGAAGCTGTTTTTTTTGCTACCGGTACAGTTCGAGAAAATAGAGTAGCAAAATGCCCTATTGTGACGTCTAAATCGTTATCAAAAAAACAGAGAGGTTTGTTTGCGTCGGCATATGACCACAAAAATGAAATAAGTGTGGTACGCTGGAATGATAATTCCGTCGTAACTGTTATGTCCAAATGTGAAGAAGTACACCCAGTAGTTCAAGTATAACGTTTTAGTCATAAACAGAGACAAGAAACCCATGTTGAGCAACCATATATGATAAGCAGATACAATAAATACATGGGCGGCGTCGACTTGCATGACAATGGGATCGCAAACTATCGCATAACAATGCATGGAAAGAAAGGTTGGTGGCCACTGTTTATAAACTCAGTGAATAGTGCTGTGGTCAATGCTTGGATGTTGGATAGGCTAGTTCGAAGTGATAAACCAATTTCTCAAATTGAATTCCGATCCCAGTTAGTACGTGGGTTACTGTTAGAAGGTAAAACTGAAAAATCAACAAATTTCCTAAGAGAACAGGCATCAGGAGCACCTATGAATGATTTGATAAGGTTAGACACTAGGTAGAAAAACATCACCAAAATTTGAGACGAACTTGTAAAGTTTGCAAAAGCACAACATATTATTACTGCACCAAGTGCAACGTTTTTCTTCAAATGTTTTGCATTGTATCATAAAAAATAAATGTGTAGTATAACCGATTTTGCTAATATTGCGAAAACGCAAGATCATTTTTTTTAAACTGAAGGAAAAAAATTTTTTTTTTCTCATTTAACTGTTTTATTTTATGCCAATAAAAAAATATGATAGGTTTTGTTTAATTCTGCTAGTGGCATTTAATGGGTTAAATAACAGCTACAATACGTATTATTAGTTATTCGGGGTTTTTTTTTAAGGTGATGAAGTTTTATGAAAACTAACAAGAGTAAGAAAAGTTTTAGAATTAAATTTCCCATAAAATAAAGTAATAATTTTTTAATTCCCCCAATGAATTAAAAAATCCTGTCACATATTAATGGTCCCTTATCAACCCTTTAAAATGAACTGTAGTTACTGTCGATTAATGCTCTTTAGTTTTTCTAAGTTCAAGTACAGGGTGTCCCAAAATTCATGCAACAAAATTTGGTCATAGATTCTTAAAACAAATTTAGGGGACTCGTACTTTTTGTTTTTGCCAACTGGCCCCCTCTTTCAGAGTTACAGCCCTCTGAAATGTGCCCCTAAGAAGCCTTTTTTATATTTCAAAATCATATTGTACGAGAATCACTAAATTTGGTACACAGGGGTTCTACGATATGTGGAATCTCACAGTGCTACACTTTTTGGCGAGAAACCCCCTTAAGACACTTTTTCGTGGGCCCCCTTGTCTTTGGAACCAGAAAAAGTTGGTCGCAAATTTGATTTTTTTTTAAATTATTAGCTAGAAAGTCATTGAATTTAGAAACTTTTTTGTCTCTTGATATTTGTTTCGTAAAACAATGTTTTTGAGGAAAACGGCGAATCATGATATGCATTCGATCACATTTTAACATTTTTCTCGAAAACATTGCGTTTTACGAAGAAAGTGTAAAGAGACAAAAAGTTTCTAAA